CAATAAATATTGGTTAATAATAGTTTCAAAGACAGACTCAGAAAGTGCCTTGTTATTCAATGATTCAGTCATGTCTGACCTGATTTGGAACACCTGCCATTTTCCAAGGTATAAGTGCTCACGTTGAAAATTTAACAATCGGCTCTCAACAGCAAGAACTGACTCCAGTAAATCACTGAAAAGGAGTGAAGAACCATGGCAATAAAATGGACTTTTGAACAAGGTGGTAAAATGAAGTTTTAAGAATAATCATATGGGGCAGCTAGCTGGCCCAGTGAACAGAGCACCGTCCCTGGATTCAGGAGGACCTGAGTTCAAATCTGGCCTCAGACACATAACACTTACTAGCTGTGTGACCCTGGGCAAGTCACTTAACCCCATTGCCTAAAACAACAACAACAACAACAACAACAAAAAGAATAATCATAAAAGGGCTTATTAAATCTCTTGGATTCCCTCAGGGAAAGGTGATGCAAAAAGTTGTGATAATAGTAAAAATAGCATAAGGGATAGTAATGATAGCAATTGAAAACATCTTCATTCAGGGGCTTCAAAACCAGTATCAAAACACATTATTGTTTATTTAAGCTAGAGTTATTAACTTAGCTGCATTCAAGCAAGGATAAGCAGACATTGGCTATTGAGTGTCTAGTCTGGGAAATCCATAAATGCTCCTGGACACAGACTTCATGGGGATTTTGTGCATTTGTCTCACAAAAATAACTTGCCTAACATTTCTGGAGACTGATACACTCTCTATTTGCAACTCTGTCTGGTTCCTTGGCTTTATCAAATTCACAGCAGAAAGGAAGAAACTAGCACTCAAGGTCACAATAATTCTTGCAGTTCCCAGGACACAAGAAAGTGTAACTTAAAGCCCAGTTATAAACGGAATTGCTAATTACATCCGAGAGAGTGCTACCATGAGCCAAGCAGGGGGAGCTTATTTGGAGCCTTGTGTTGTCTCTGAGACAACTGTGTTGAACCAGAGGAACAGACAGATTGCTCCAATAACCCAAAGTGCCTTTTTTGGTGGGCAAAAGGGAGGTATTGGAGATTTTTGAGCAAGAGAATGACATGATCCTTGCACTACTTTAGGAAAATTAGGCTGACAACAGTTGACAAGTTAGATTAGAGGGGTGAGCACTGGTGACAGGGCAAACCATTTGGGAGTCTTTTAATAGTCCAAATGTAATAACCTAAATTAGGGGGGGGCAAGTTAGATAGTCATTGGGGTGGGGTGGGAGGACTCCCCCTTCCATCCTCATAATGCTCATAATTTTGTTTTCCCTGGACACTAAGACACACAAAGAGAAATAGTAGTACACAATAATAACAAAATAGAAAAATATATTCACTCATTCATTCATTCAACAAATATTTATAGAGTATGTACTAAGTACATACATAGGGAATAGGACAACACACGTGATATACAACCCTTGGCCTCAAAGAGCTTACAATTGAGTAGGGAAGATGATATGTATATAAATAATATGCAGTACAGATTTGATGCAAATATATACCATAAAAATAGTACAGCGGAATTCAGAGTAGCATGAGATCATTTCAGGCTGGGTGATCAGAGAAAGCTTTATGGAATAGGTGATATTTGAGCTGGGCTTTGAAAGATGGGTAGGATTTCAATAAGTGGAGATTGGCAGGGACAGAGATAGTCATTCCAGAAGGAGAGAACAGCATGAGAAAAGGCCTGGAGGCAGAAGGGTATGTGGTATATTTGGGGAATGTTGAGACCAGTTTAGCTGGCACTGTGGGGTTTAAATAGGGGAGTAGGCAGCAAAAAGGCTGGCAAAATAAACTGAGATTTTAACACCAAGCTAAATAGTTATTGGAGATTTTTGAGTAGGGCAATGACATGATCCTTGTACCATATGAGGAAAATTAAGCTGTGGATAGTGGGCAGGTTACATTAGAGGGGTGAGCCACTGGTGACTGGGCAAACCATTTAAGAGTTTATTTCAACAGTCTAAGTATAATAACCTAAATTAAGAAGGTGGTAAATGGCATGGGAAAGGAAGTGACTAATGTAAGAGAGACCAATTCAATTAAATTCAATCCAACAAGCATTTATTAAGCATCTATTATGTGCTAAGCACTGTACTAGGCACTGAGGATACATGGACTTAAATAGCTTCTGACTCCAAGGACCCCCCCTCCCCCAGCATGACCACTGAGGAGAGAAGGGACTGTTTTTAAGCTGCCAGGCAGGAAGAATGTCATCACCAGAGTGATCTGTTCCTTGTGTTCCTCCTTCCTTGGGTTGCTTGCAGAATTTGAATGAGAAGAAAGCCAATAACCCAATTATTTCTGATTACGTGGAGGACCACCAAGCCTTATGATCTGCCCTGCCTCTATGACCTGCTGTCCTCCAGAGCTGTCTTGTTAACCATTTTAATAACCTAAATACCTCTGAGTCTTGTCATCAATCCTCAACTCTCTTTTATTTGTTGGCTCCCCTCATTAGAGTGTAAGCTCATTGAGAGCAAGGACTTGTCTGGCTTTTCCTATTTTTATTTTGCTTTTTGGTGAGGCAATCAGGGTTAAGTGACTTGCCCAGGGTCACATAGCTAGTAAGTGTCATGTGTCTGAGACTGGATTTGAACTCACGTCCTCCTAACTCCAAGGCCAGCCAGAGCTCTATACACTGTGCCACCTAGCTGCCCCAGCTTTTCCTATTTGTATCCTAGCTCTTAACCAACAGTGCTTGGCACAAAGAATGTGCTTTTTTTTTTTATTCATGCATGTATTTGATTTCTTTTTGAGTCATACTATTTGTTTTTGCATGGTATGAATCAGAGCCTTTGGTTGGACTACTCTGTGTATTGGAGGTACCCATTGGAGGAATTTTTACCCAGGATAGTTTTGTTTCTTACCTGCCAGTAAATTTGTAGTCTTTCCCCTTAATGCAAAAAGAAACACAAAGTATGAGAGTCAGCTTAGTAGTGGAGAGAGCTGGCTTTTACCTTGGGAGTTAGTAAGACCTCTGAGATATACTACACATATTACTTGTGTGAACCTAGGAAGGTAATTTAACCTCTGTGTCCTAGGCAATTCTCTAAGTGTCTCCAAAGTTGACACTATAAGTTGCAGGATGGGTGATCCACATTGATATGGGCACTTTCCTCACTCAGAGTTCCCTATGTCAATGAAGAAATCAGACATGAACTCCATCATTCTCCTCTTTTTCTACCCCCATTCAACAAATTCCCTAATTACAGGTTTCCTAATCCAATTGTAAGTAGTTGGTAGCTGTGTAGGGTGTGTGTGTGTGTGTGTGTGTGTGTGTGTGTGCGCGTGTGTAAGAGTAGGCATTACAGTCAGTTATGCTGTAATGCTTATTGTGAAATCATGAATTTGTTTCAACTCAATTGATATATTAGGCAACAATTTGAGATAACAAATTTCAAAAAATTTATATTTGTTTATACATTATTTCATCCTCGAGAAATAGGCAGAATACAGAAAACTACCCTACAATAAGTCACAAGCTACAACCCTTCTGATGCCTACTTTCGCAAGCTGGAGGTCTTTTTCAAAGTAAACTGCCAAAATTATTGCATATCTTCTGGTACAGTTGGAGCTGTAGGCAGAGGAGGACTAATGCTCACCTATCCCTTATGGCAGCAGCTCTTGGCGCCTGTGCCCTGGAGTTGTGGCCTGCTGAGGCCATCCTCTTGCCTGCACCATAGGCTTTGCCAGCTTGGACCCATGGGAACAAGATGCAGGTCAAACAGCAGCCGAAGGCTAGGAGGCTGACACCATTTATTGTAGTATTCATGTATTTCTTAACCATTTAATGTGTAAAACTATGCTACTGTTTTCATTAGGTTCCTTTTTTTATGCCACTGACAAAGGTTTTGAGTGTTTTGCCTCTAACTACATTTCTCCATGTGTTTTTTTTAACTTCCCAATAAATTTTACCCCATAAGATTTTTATTGCTTGATTTTGCATAGCTTAATGATTTTTAGGAACTCATATTTCACATTATAGGAGAACTGACTGAAATACCACCTTCCCCTTTCCCCCTAATGCTATCCAGTGCTAACAATTGGATTCAAAAGACAGGAATGAGTGAGGCTAGGAAAGAGAGAATTCCAGACCCGGGGATACATTGGAATGTAAAGGAGCAAGTAGCCCTTTTGACTAGAAAGTAGAATGTGTGAGGGCAAGTAATGGGAAACAAATCTGGAAAGATGATGAACCAAGAATTAACAGAACTGGATATTTGATTGGATACAATGCTTGAAAGAGACAAGTAGGGGCAGCAAGGTTGCGCAGTGGATAGAGCACAGGCCCTGAAGTCAGGAAGACCTGAGTTCAAATCCGTTCTCAGACCAGACACTTGACACTAGCTGTGTAACCCTGGGTAAGTCACTTAACCCCATTACCTAGTCAAAAGAAAAAAAAGGACAAGTAGCCAGAGATAACTCATTTGACAAAATGAGTCCTGAAATATTAAATAGGATCAATGAGGAGAAAATTCCAGCATCTTCTCTAAACAACTGTGAAAACTTTAATTTTTCTGGTTCAATGTTGCTTTGTTAATAACCTTTGAGGTAGGGGCTGTCTTTTGCCTCTTTTTGTATCCTCAGAGCTTAGCGCAGTGTGTAGCACGTAGTAGGCCCTTAATACATGTTTACTGAATTGACTTGAACCTAACCCAGCTTATATGGGAAAGCTCATGTGGGTAGTCACAGCCCCAGTAGGAAGCCTTGGCCAGAGTATTGGGACCCCGCAGCACGCTCCTGGGGTCCCAAAGCCGCCTCCAACGCACTCAGCCCCCACCTCTTCAGCCCCTTCCCTGGAAATCTCGGCAGGTTAGCATCCCAACAAACTTTCTTCGGAAAAGAAGGGGATGGGGGCGGAGAAGAAATTTAAAGGGGAAGTCCCTCCCCTTTCACGAATCCCTATTGGTCCGGGCCGGCTCCCCTCCCTCTCCAGGGCCGCCGGAGGATTGGCTGGGAGATGGGGCGGGAACCCCCGAGGCGGCTCCCCGTGGCGGGGTCCTCCCCGGCCGCCCCTCCCCCTCCCCAGGTGGCAGGTGGGGCGGGGAAGGAGCGTTCCGGTTTCCCGCAGTCCGGGAGCCTCTGCGCCCTCGCGCCAGCCGGGCCGAGCGCTGGAGACCATGAAGAGCCTCAAGTCTCGCCTCAAGAGGCAAGAGGGGCCCGCCCCAGCCCCTGCCAGCGGGGCAGCCTGCTCGGTAAGTGGCGCCCGCACCGCCGGCGTCCCAGCCTCGGGGGCCCCGGCTTACGCTCTGCTCTCCCTTCGCTCCCATCCCCGGGGCCAGTTTGCTTCTGAACCCTCCGATCTCCCTCCCCCGGCCTCTTCCGGGGACCCTCCAGGGGCGAGGGTCCGTCCCTGGGGGACCGACGGGACGAAAGCCCGGGGCCGGACGGGGCGAGCGAGACTCCGACCCTGGGGGACTGACGGGACGAGCGAGACTCTGGCCCCGGGGGACGGAGGAGACGAAGGCCGGGGGCCGGAGAGACTGGTTCTTGGCGACTGACGGAACGAAAGCCGGGGGCCAGACGGGGCGAGCGAGACTCCCGGAGAAAGTGCAGCTGGGGCGGGTCGGGTGGGGGTGTCGCCCTCGGGCTAGGCGCGGAAGGGCCGCCCACCCCCGGCCCTCGCCCGGCGCCCCCCTTTATTGAAGCCGCTCGAGGGTCTGGGCCACGTTGCGGGGATGATGTCCGGAGGGACCCCTGCAGGGAGGAGGGGGCGGCCGGGCTCGGGGGCGCAACGTTGCGCTCATTGCGCGTGAGATTTGCAAAGTCGGAGTTTGGCTTTCCAGCTTTGCCGGAGGCAGAGTACATACAGTGCAGAGGATGGAAACGGAAGCTGGGATGGTGTTGGGAGGTCGGGGGAGACACCGTGGGCTTGGGCAGGCTCCTGGAAAGTTTATGCCGTGGCGAAATCCTCGATACTTCACTGTAATGTGTAGACAGTACGGAGACTCGACACAGAAGCTCAAAGGGAACTCCTGGGTATCGTTAGGGAACTTCCTGAGACTTGATAATTTTGACAATTTAAGGTAATGGAAATGTGATCTAAACCCCACGATGCAAAAAAAAAAAAAAGAACAAGGTCTTGTTCAACCAGAAACCTGTAGAAGATAGAATCTCGAGACTAGTCTCATTTCTTATTTTCCTAGAATGCTCAAAACAGGATCTTCCCCATCTTACTGAAAAATCGATCGCCTCCCAAAACTTCTAGGGATTATTCAAGTCACTATATAATTCCTGATAGGGTGGATAGAGTGCTGGACTTGAAGTTAGGAAGATCTGACCTCAAAATCCTGCCTTAGATACTTACCCATTTAGTTTCCTCTTCTGTACAATGAGGGTAAGAACAGCACCCGATTTACAGGTTGTTGAAAGGATCAAATGAGAAATTTTATGTAAAAATGATTTTGCAAACCTTAAAATGCCATTTTCTCTTCATTTTACATTTTTGTTGCGCTTAATAAAATTTCCCCCCCCTAGGATCAGTTAACTTATAAATGAAAGTTGTGTGAGGACCAGGGTCTGTACCCCAGATTTTTTAAAAGATATGCTGATTTTGAATAGTATGAACATTTGAGGAGACATGCCCCTTATGGCCTTTGAAATTTGGCTCCAGCTTGCCCTTCCAGACTCAGATATACCAACCTTTCAAGTACTGTTAAACTTCAGTCAAACTGGCCTATTTACTGCACCTCATTACAAGACCATCTCTCCCCCTCTCTGCCTTAGCACCCCCCAGCAGTACCCTGTATCTAGAATGAATTCCTTTTCACCTCTGCCTCAGTTTAAACAGAATCTCTTGCTTTTTCCTGATAGCCTTATGTTAAGACCTCCTTTGTTCCCCTCCCGCCCCCCCAAACCCCTTTTCCTTATACTTATTTTGTATTAAATTATGTAAACATGCTGTTTTCCTCAGTAAAATGGAAGCACCTTTAGGGCTGGCAGTTTTTCATATTGGTATTCATGTCCCTTTGTATTGTAACCAAGGACAATACCTTGAACTGAGTTGGCAGCTAATAAGTGTTTGTTGATTGAATGATTAAAAAAGAATTTTGTGAGAGGCAGTATTGACCTAGGTTCAAGTCATACCTGGGTAAATCCAGCCTCTACCAGGCAACTGTGTAAGACTAAATTACTGAACAGTTGTGGATCTTCATTGGTAGAGGGAATTCTCTCACTAGGACCTCTCTCTACCCAATGAAATCACAGGTTTGAAACAAAAAAGAAAGAAAAAAATTGTTAAACTAGTGAGAAATTATCTCCTCTCTTCCCCTCTCCTTCCCTCCCCTCCCCATCGCCTGCCCTCTCTTCTCTTCTTTTCTCCTGTCCTCTGTCCTTCTCTTCCTTAATTCCTTTCTTCCCCTCCTTCTTTCCCTCCCTCATGGGCCACTGAGACTTTTAGTACCTTGCTTAGGGTCATACAGCCTGAATACCTTTGTTGGGACTTAAATTCCATCTTTCTGAATGGGGAGTCTGCCTATCTATGTTATTGTTCTTAAGAACTGGGAAAATGTTACTAGTATCAGAGAAAGTCATAATGTTATTCTTCTATAAACATCTTACTTCATTAGATTCCAGATTACTTAGACCAGAGAGTTCATCACAAGAAGTTTACACAAACATGATAAAACACTCTGCATAATTTCATACTAATCCCTCCAAAAGCCCATGAGATGTTTGGGATTTTAAAAAATTATCAGTTGATGTTTTGCATTTTACAAACTTGCAAGCTCAGGGACAATTTTCTGAAACTTAACTGTACTTTTAAGTCTCTCAAAATGAAGGAATTAAAGGTGAAGAAAAATTCCCTAAATGTATTAAGAAATGCCTGAGTTAAAGTAAAAAATTCCAAAAGGTTTAAAATTATATGGGAGTGATGATTAATTATATAATTGGTTAATTTGATTTTTAGAAAATTCACAAAAAGGAGACATTTCCCTTTTTTTGGTTTAAAAACCCCAAATTCTTGACACATGATCAATTTCATTATAATTACGATGATCACTGTTCTCCTAGTTTTGCTTACTTCACTTTGTATCAGTTCATTCAAGCCTTCTTTGGTTCCTCTGAAGCCATCCCTTTTGTCATTTCTTAAAGCACAATAATAACAAAAATTAGCTTGTTCATTTGGCTTGAGAAATTTTGAAAGATTACATTTAAAAGAAGTATTGTGGTTGTTGTATACTCATTAGTTTGAATATATGTGGAAATGTAGTGTTAGACCAGATGTTCCCAAACTTATTTGGCCTATAGCCCCCTTTATAAAAAATACTCAGTGCCCTCCTGGAAGTCTATTTTCTTTAACCCTTTAATGGTTTTTCAAAAAAAAAAATTGCATTATTTCAAAAAATATAAAATAAAAAAATGCATCTTAAATTTAATAATTTATTGTAAATTTGTGGGTTTTTTCCTGCATTGAAATTTTGATGACATAATATTGTATCATGTAACCATATAGTATTGTATTGTAAACAAGTCATTATACCACCCACATTACTGCCAATACGTGCTGGACCTGGTACTCCATGCTGGACTTGCTTACGTATTAATATACCACAGTTTGTTTGAGAATTCCTTTATTGTTGGACATTTAGGTATCTTCAGCTTTTTTAAATTACATGTAATGCTTTTTTAAAGAAAATCTTTGAACAGATATGGCTGGCCTGGGCATTTTTCATTAAAATGGAGGGCCTGGGAGGAATCAGCCAATCAGAAGAAGGGGCTGCAGACATGGAGAGTAGTTCTAGGGTGAGAGATTCAGGGGTGGAGTGAACTTGCAGGCTGAGAAGGCTTCTTTGGCATGGTGGAGCCTGGAAAGGAATGAAGGATTAAAGAATTGCCCTCCATAATTGAGATATACATTCTTTTATATTTATTGCATCTGTCTTACTGGTATTTGTATGTTGTTCTGTCACCAATTTGGAATTCAAAGAGAATATTATGTAAGAGCAATCAATTAAATACTAAGCATTTATTAAATCCCTACTTTGTCACAGGCACTGTCCTAGCTTCTCAGAATAGGACAAAAATGAGATAGTCCCTCAGTCACTGGTCTCAAGATGCTTACATTTAATGAGGGGAGACAACATGTATATATGTTAGTGTGTGTATGTGTGTAGAAGTGGTTTGTCACGTCCTTCCACAGCTCATTTATTTATAGTTGAGGAAACTGTGGCAAATGGGGTTAAGTGACTTGCCCAGGGTCACAGAGCTATTAAGTGTCTGAGGCCAGATTTGCACTCAGGAAGATGAATCTTTCTGACTCTAAGCCCCAAACTCTATCCACTTTGCCACCTAGCTGCATATTTATTTAACACATATTTTTACATACACGATAAATAACAATGTAATTTTTAGGGGGCAAGGCACTAGTAGCTTGGGGGAATTGGGAAAAGCATCATGAAGGTATATGAGCAGAGTGAAATTGGGGATTCTAAGATTTGTTTAAATCTGTTTCCCATCAAGCTGTAAAATACTTCATAATAAAGTATTTCAAGCTTAGCTCAGGTTTGGAAAGCTTATCATCAGATTGGTTGCAAGCAGATGAATATATTGACCATAGTAGCTTTTGAAAAGTTGTTGAGAGGTTGTGATGTGTGTTGGTGGGAAAAAGTTTCACACCACCAAAATCTCAGATTATTAAAGTTTTGCATTAAATATAACAGTAATCCAGTCTCTTGCTTTAGGTGGTCTTGCTTCAGGTATTTCCTTTTCTTTCTTTCTGAAAGCTGCTATTGCATGGCTAAGTAAATGGTACACTTAGTTGTACCACAGCTTCTTTTGGAGGTCAAACACTGTGCTCCATGAACCAGTTATTACTATATCATGCAGAATCTTGCTAATATTTTGGCACCTAGAAAAATTGCTGGCATCTGCTTTCCAAATAGGAATTCAAAGCTGCTTGATGTGGCATTCTTAGTTACCTTGGGGGAAAATAATTTTAACATTTAGCAGAGATTTGAATCATTTAGAACACAAGGCAATATGTATAATAGATATAGCTATACATCTATATATTTATGTATACACACACAGACACAAATATACATATTTTGTTTTATTTTATTTTTGAAAAGTGGATTGTGTTCCTTCCACAGAGAGGTAATTTGTATACATTTGAAAAAATTGATTTTTATCATAACTATGACTTTTATGTAATGTCTTAAATAATTAAAACCACAATTGTTATGTTTAGTTT